GTCAGAGCTCATGGGTGACCAGGTGCACTGTCAATGAGCAGTAACATTCTGAAAGAAGTTTTTTGTTTTTTGTTTTCCTGAGCAGTATGTCTCAACAGTGGGCTTAAAATATTTTGTAAACCATGCTGTAAACACATGCAATATCATCCAGGCTTTGTTCTTCCATTGCTAGATCACAGGCATGGTAGATTTAGCATAATTCTTAAGTGTCTAGGATTTTCCAAATGGTCAATGGGCATTGGATTCAACTTAAAGTTACCAGCTGCATTAGCCCCTAACAAGAGAGTCAGCCTGTCTTTTGAAGCTTTGAAACCAGGCACTGACCTCTATTCTCTACCTATAAAAGTTGTGGATGGCATCCTCTTCCAATAGAAGATTGTTTCATCTACATTGAAAATATATTGTTTAGTGTAGGCACCTTTATCAATTATCTTAGCCAGATCTTCTGGATAACTTGCTGCAGCTTCTACATCATTTTATTCCAATGTAAAATGGAATTTCCTTCCTTCATTTCATTCTGGAACTTTTCCTTTGCATTCACAACTTGGCTGAGAGCTTGGCATAGAAGACCTAGCTTTTGGCCTATCTTGGCTTTCAACATGCCTCCCTCACTACCCTTAATCATTTCTAGCTTTTTTTTTTTTTGAGACAGAGTCTTGCTTTGTTGCCCAGGCTAGAGTCAGTGCCGTGGCATCAGCCTAGCTCACAGCAACCTCAAACTCCTGGGCTCAAGCGATCCTTCTGTCTCAGCCTCCCGAGTAGCTGGGACTACAGGCATGCGCCACCATGCCCGGCTAATTTTTATATATATATATCAGTTGGCCAATTAGTTTCTTTCTATTTATAGTAGAGACGGGGTCTCGCTCTTGCTCAGGCTGGTTTCGAACTCCTGACCTTGAGCAATCCGCCCGCCTCGGCCTCCCAGAGAGCTAGGATTACAGGCGTGAGCCACCGCGCCCGGCCTCATTTCTAGCTTTTGATGTCAAGTGAGAGATGCGATTTTTCTTTTCACTTGAACACTTAGAGGCCATTGTAGAGTTATTCATTGGCATAATTTAAATATTATTGGGTCTTAGGGAACAGGGAGGTCTGAGGAAAAGGAGAGCCATGGAGGAAATGGCTGCACATTGGAGCAGCCAAAATACACACAACTTTTATTCATTTAAGTTCACCATCTTACATAAGTTCCCTTAAAAACAATTACAATAGTAACATCAAAGATCACTGATCACAGATTTCCATAACAGGTAAAATAATAATGAAAAAGTTTGAAATATTGCAAGAATTACCAAAATGTGACACAGAGACATGAAGTGAGCACATGCTGTTGGAAAATGGTGCCAATAGACTTGCCAGATGCAGGGCTGCTACAAACCTTCAATTTGCAAAGAACGTAATATCTGTGAAGCATAAGAAAGTGGAGCGCGAGAAAAACGAGGTGTCCCTGTACGTTCCTCCTGCTTCCATTATGCAGCAGCAACCGTATGTCCTCATGCTGTCAGGTCATCAGGTTCAATCACCTCTTCCAGGATAATCATTCCCCACTAAATTCGAGAGTAGCTAGGCACAATGCTAGGCATGGAGGACTCTACTCTGTGAGTCAACATAGATTCTCTCTAAGCATCTTTTTCACCTTTAACACCCACTGCTAACTGAGTAGCCATCTCCTTATTTTCCCACTTAAACTCCTGAGAATGAGTGTTTGGTAAGCTCACATCATGCTGAAGTCTAAGCCACTGGCTCATCTCTGGACTGGCCAGCCTCAATGCAGTCACCCACTTGCTTATTTCAATCAGCTGAGGTCAGAGGGGTAGGGGCACAAAATACAATTTCTGGGGCCTGGGGCTGCCTCATCAGCAGGGGTTTGCCCCTTTAAAAAGGCCTACAGGCCTATGTTGACTCCACAGGCCTACAGGTGTGGCTGGCACAATGTTTGACCTATTTGCTTGCTATGGGGCTATAGTATCATCACCGGCTCCCTGCTAGTCACTTGGTCAGTTCCTGATAAATTTACAGCCCACTGAGCCCAGTTTCCTAATCTGTAAAGTAAGTTGAAGATCCTTTCACATGGAAAATGCCTGTTATCCTCAATACAACATGAAGAATAAAAAAAAAAAATGCCTGATAACTGCCCCTCCCCTTAAACTTTTGTACATTAGCTATTTGTTAATCCAGGACTCCCTCCACCCTATGCTTAGGTAATTTATTTTTTGAACCCCCAATTTCATTTTTCAGTAAATGCTTGCTTTTATTACTTTTATGACCCATTTAATTCCATGGCTTGGAGCCATCATTTTGCCCTGTTGCAATGTCTGAATCTTGAGTTTGCCACTTAATGTATTTGCTTTTCTTTTCAGCTCCGGGCCATCAGCATATATGAATAGCTTCTGTGTCACCATCTGAGATAGGACCAAGGACAGGTCTGGGGCAAGTCACCAGAGACCTATCCACACTCTTTTACTTCAGTGATCAAAGAGCTGCAAATCCCCTTAGTGGTGCTATCAGAGGTCTCCTATTTCCTCCTCCTGAGCCTGAAGCCATTGCAAGGGACCTTTAAAGAGGCCTTTGCTAGGCCGGGCAAGGTGGCTCACGCCTGTAATCCTAGCACTCTGGGAGGCTGAGGCGGGTGGATTGCTCGAGGTTGGGAGTTCAAAACCAGCCTGAGCAAGAGCGAGACCCCGTCTCTACTATAAAGAAATTAATTGACCAACTAAAAATATATATACAGAAAATTAGCCGGGCATGGTGGTGCATGCGCCTGTAGTCCCAGCTACTCGGGAGGCTGAGGCAGCAGGATTGCTTGCACCCAGGAGTTTGAGGTTGCTGTGAGCTAGGCTGATGCCACGGCACTCACTCTAGCCTGGGCAACAAAGTGAGACTCTGTTTCAAAAAAAAAAAAAAGAGGCCTTTGCTGAAGTTCACACCTACTGTGTCTCCAGCACTTGGTTGAGGTCAGACTATCTCGAATTTTACAGATGGGAAATTATGACTTGCCCAAAGTCATATACTGTGGCAAGGCTGGCCTTTTTGTCCTCACATCACGTTTTTTCTATTACATCATACTTCCTCCACAGTTTTACCTACCACTCCAGGAGGCCAGTGGGTTAAAGCAACAAAGATAGGTGTAACCTGACTTTCAGGGTCTTAGGAGACTTCCCTGACTTCCGGATGTTGACTGGACTTCACCAAGATTAGTATAGACGAGTCCTTTTCTACACAGCAAATTCTTCCCGATGCCCTCACAGCTGGGCTCCCTCCTCTTGTCTGTTTTAACAACCATTCCCTGTAATGTGCAGTGGACAGGTCAGGAGAGAGCAAGAAGTGGGCTATGGCGTTTGTCCTCTAGGATCTCAGATGACCATAACCATACTATGGTCCTGGAAAAGCTGAAATGTACTGACCCTCAACTCTTAAAAAGTCTTCCAGTGTTCCTGATATTTGGGCAGTAGAGGTGCGGCATAGAGTTACAGGTGTCTTTTCTGATGTCCAGCCTTGAAAGGTAGCGTGAATGTCAAACTTGCGGAAACCCCAAGTGACACACACGTGGAAGAGGAAGGATCTCATTCTCCTACCCTGTGCATGAAGAAAGATGGTCTAAGACGGAAGGGAATGCAACGGAGGTGTGCACTTCAGCTCATCCCAGTTCCATCTGGGGAGCCCCTTCTTGAGCCTCATCAAGGGTCAAGTTGGGAAGCATGCCCATGGATTCTTTGTTTTGAGTGCACACTGGAAGCTTGGGTTTGGCATTTTACCTGGCATCCAGGTCATGCTCACCTGTGTACTGGTTCTAAAAACTGAGACATTATCTACAGTTTATGGAACTCCTGCGAATGTTCCTGCAATTGATTTGCTCACAGGCTGCCCACCCCCACCTACTGTATGCCACAGACACAAGTACCCTGACTGTCCCCACCAGCTGCTACCAGCTGCTCTACACACTCCCACTCACTCTCACTGCCCCTGAGGTCTCTAGGGAGTCACCAACACATGCCACCCACTGTCTGTATCTGGGGAAGGCGCTGACAGGGTGCCCGGGGGAGGGGACTGGGTCGTTGGAAACTTTAATCAAGCAGGGACGGTTAACAGCTGCAGGTATACCTTAGGAAACAGTGAGCCTTAAAAAGGAAATACTTGTAGACTCTCTTGCCATGACCTTTGAAGACTTTTCTAAAAGTGGCCTGTCATTCCCTGCTGTGGAAAAAGATAATAGCGACCACAGGCACCCTTCAGGCACAGAAAGCTTCACCCTCCAGGGGGACTTTGACATAGCTGCTTACCTCACAGACTGCAAAGTCCCCAGAAACGCTGCCCATGCACGCACACACATACACCTGCCTCTCCACAGACACCTTCCTCAGGTGTCCTTTGTCCTCTGTGGCCACTTCCTCTGGGGCAGGCTGGGCCATGCTGTGGGGCAGAGCCCCGGGACCCACTGCAGCACCCTGCCACACCCCACCAGTCACAAGCTGTTAGTGTGCAGTGAGGACCTCTCCGTCTTCCTTTTTCCTCCCCACAGCTGCAGGGGGCAGTTTTGAGGGGGCAGATGTCACCCTGCTAGGGGGTGGGTTTTCCCCACCTCCATGCCTTGTCTTGTTGCAGCTCCTTCCCATCATTAGATGTAGGCCCTTTCGGGGTTCCTATTAGGGGTCACATCCTGGTAAAAGAACATTCGGGAGCACTGCTGGGCACCACTGCTCAGCAGCCCCGTTCCCCTCCGCCACCAGTTCCTCTGTCCAGCAGCCAGGCCCCACCACCTCTGGGTCCTGGGTCCTTCCCCATGAAGGCCCCTTCTTCCTCCGGGCTAGAAGTAAAGGGGCAATGTGGGTTTTTAAAAGAAGAGCTTTACTAGGAAAGTAAGAGGGAAACCAAACCAAACCAAATCAAGAAAATATGAAAACCTTGGCTGGCCCGAAGTCTGCAGCTCAGCTTTGGTTCTGCTTCGTCCCTGCCTTGCCTTGCCTAGGACCACACAACCCTTCTCAATCCTATTTGAGAAGCCACCAAATCAGGGACCCTTTTCTGGGAACCCACATCTCCTGGAGACCCCAGGAAGAGGAGGAGCTGAAATCTGATGGGGAGCATGGAGCCGCACCCTTGAGCGGGGGAGATCGTCTGCGGTCACTTGGGCACAAAAGAGCTCCAGCTACACATGGATAAGGCCCAGCGGACAGGGCAGTGAGGATGGAGGGCAGGCACGTCAGCGCAGATAACCCGCATCCGGGGTTGGGAGCCCAGCACTGCCAGCGTGGGTTCAGGGTGCATGAAGGGCGGACACAGGCAGGACACAGGGACAGGCCCAGCCCCTACCTCTGTGCTCCGGACCTCAGTGTCCCCTCCCCTGCCCCTCTGGCGGCGCCCAGGGATGCCTTCTGCATCACTGAACCCATCTGTCTGAGGCTTGCTTACACCTTCCTCTTTCGTGTGGGGAAGTCAGAAGCTGAAGTGCTAAGCTGTGTAGTCGCTGGGGGAACGCGGAGCCTGAGTGTGAAGGGACGGAGAGCAGAGCACAGGGAGGCTTGGCAGGTGGATGACAGGGAGGCAGGCGGGGCAGAGGGGCTCAGGACCATGGCTGAGACCATCACCTATGCCGACCTGCGGTTTGTGAAGGCTCCCCTGATGAAGAGCGTCTCCAGCCGGATGGGAAAGGGACAGGGACAGGGTAAGGGTGGACCAGGCGTCTCCTAGAGAAGGTCTCCTCCTCAAGACCCCACCCTCCACCCCAGCCCCTTCCCGACTCCCACCTTGGTCCGTCTTTTATCCTCTCCTCCGCAGACCCCGAGGCAGACGAGGACGGGGAACTCACCTACGAGAACGTGCAAGTGCCCCCAGTCCCAGGGGTGCCCTCGAGCTTGGTTTCCTCTGGACTAGGGGACAACGCAGGTCTGGAGACCCTGGGGCTGTGTGTTTGTGGGGGACCGTGTCTCCGGTTCTCAGGGAAGAGAAGAAGGAAACAGGATAAATGGGAGCGGGGAGAAGAAAGTTCCCTGGGTCAGGTGGAGATGGGGAGGGATCGGGGCAGCCCGGTGGGGAGATGAGTTCGAGGACAGGACGCAGGGGGACCCGGGAGAGAGGAGCGGGTGGGGAGAAGACTAGGAGAGACCCAGGAGGGAGCTGAGAGGGTGGGGCAGAGGACGAGCTGCGCAGAGTGGCCGGCGTCCCCAGCACTTGCAGAGGGCAGCGCGGGCGGACTGGCGCCCCCGGGTGGCGGGTCGGCTGGAGAAGGGGCATCACCGGGGCTTCCCGTCTCGGAACTGGCCGCTCCCTTCGCAGGGGTCAAGGCGGAGCACCCAGCTGCGGGCTGGCGCTCCGGGACGTCACTGGCTGCCAGGCTGGCTGTGTCCTGTGAGTAGCGTCTAGTCCCTGCTGTCACGATGCCTTTTCGGTCTGACTGGGGTGGGGATGGGGGGCTGCTGGGCCCCACGGGGGCGCTGTCGCCGGGGATGGGCTCTCGCCCCCCTGCTCTGCCCCTTCCCCATCCTCGGGCAGATCTTGCCCACCCAGATCACCTCCCTGCTTGGGATGTCCCAAGTCACATACCTCCCCACCCTTCTTCTCTCCCCTTCTGGGATTTAGTTCTCCCTGTTCCCAGGTGATGCCCTTCAATCCTCCTTACCAGTAACAATCCCCAGCTCTTATTCTGGAATACTCTCCCTCCCCTACCTGCAAAACACTCCACTACGCGGACAACACCCACTGTGCTTGTCCCCTCAACTCTGCACCCTCTCAGGGATGCTTACCCAGGAATCTCCCCTGCCCACCCATCCCCTGACTATACATTCTTCCCCGGGGCTGACTGCCCCTGTCCATCCCACTGTCCCCCAAGGCCGGGCACCCTGCTGGCATTACCTCCTGCTCTGCCTGCTCCTCATCTGCCTGCTGTTAGGAGTGGCTGCCACCTGCCTGGGAGTGCACTGTGAGTAGGCTGCCCCCATTTCCCATTTATACCGAACTACTTTCTTCCCTACTCTCCCCAAAAGCTGCCCTTCCTCAGCAAGGCCCATAGTCACTTCCACCACATCCTTAGTTTTTGATCTGGTTTCCAGCCAGGGCTGTTGTAGAGTGCCCTGTCTTCCTAAATTGTCCTTTCCTAATCCCGGAGCTCCTGGAGCTTCAGACAGTCGGATCTTATATTTCGGCCTGCTATGCAAAAGGTTGCAAGAAGCAGGAAAAGGGCCAATGCTGCAGTCTCAGCACAACAGGACACAGCTGGAGAAGATGCCCTCCAAATCTCTCTTTATGGCCAAACAGATCTGCAGGCATCTGAGCAGCTCCAGCAGGTGAACAGGGTTCTGGAAGCCACTAACAGCAGCCTGAGGCAGCAGCTCCGCCTAAAGATAACTCAGCTGGGGCAGAGGGAAGAGGACCTGCAGGGGTCCAGGAGACAGCTGGCCCAGACTCAGGAAGCACTACAGACAGAACAGAGGGTTCACCGGGATGCCGAAGAGCACTTGCAGGCCTGTCAGTTAGACAGGGAGAAGACAAATGAGAACTTGCAAGGTGAGAAGGAGCAGAAGAGCGCCTTGGAACAGCGGCTGAACAGCATTCAGGACACACTGAAGCGCCTCATCCAGTGCCAATCACAAGGTATCTGGGGAGGGACAGAGGGGAGCGGGCAGCTGTGAGGGATGGGCTGAAGCCAGGAGGCGCTAGTGGCAGGGATCTATCTACCAGGGCCCAGTGAGTTGTTCAGGAAAGGGGCAGTGAACCAGAGTGGTGGCTGACATGAGCTGAGCAGCCTCCGTGACAGGGAGGAGGACCAAGCTACATACTGGATTGAGGGAATCACCCAGCTCCAAGGCTGATCCTGTCAGGGAAAAGCGGGTAGCAGCCAGCAGTGCAAAATCACACTGTCCAAAGCAGCATGTGGCAAACTCAGGTTTCATCCGGTTGACATCAGTGGCAAGGATCTGAGGACCCCTGAATTTGGATGTGAAGTTGATTGTTTGCACATTTTTCTAAAGACAGGATCCCCAGATTTGATTAATTTTCACTACATCTGGGATCCTTCCAAAAGTTAAGAATCACTGACGGGCACAGGTGCAGTCTGGTAGTGGGGCTAGGCAGCTGAAGTTCTCAGCACTCAGGATGAAGTAGGTCGGGGGTTGTGGTTAGGGAACTAGGATGGGGTGTCCAACCATTTTGCAAGCAGGAAGCCAGACTGTAGGTGGCGATGGTGGGACACATAAAAGGGGAAAGGTTGTGCCAAAGCAGGTTGAAGGTCTAGGCAGGACACCAGGCCCAGGGGGACTGGAGTGTTTATGGACTACTCCTGGGGTTAGGCTCTGTTTAGCTTAGGGGGCATCTGGATGCTCCCCTAGGCTTACGACAGCAAGATTATGTGCAGACACCTCCCTTCTTGCCCTTCTTACCTTCTTGGCCTCAGTGATTCTCAGTTCCATGCCAGGGCTGCCACCCATTCCCATACCTGCAGCCTCGACCTTGATCCCACGCTGCTCCTCTGTTGAAAGGATGATTTCCGACTTCCACTCTGATCACAGCTGCCCACCACGCCTCCACACTTCCCCACACTTCTCTGACCTCATTGCGGCCTCCAGCATGCTGACTCCTGTTTCCTCTCTGCCCATCAGCTGTCTCCTGTCCTCACTTCTTTCCCTACCCATCTTAGGTTTGGGGTTCATCATTTCAACCCTTTGCTTCTTTGTTCCATTGTCTTTCTGGTGCACCCAACAGGCCAAATCTCAACTCTGGATGAACCCAACTGCTCACTTTGCCCAGGCCTGCACCAAGATGTGACAAATTGTACAATCATTCTGCTCAGTGCCACTGAAAGCTCTAGTCTCTCAGCACTGCCTGGCGACCTCTGCAGTGGTCGGCTTGCTGTTCGTAATTCCTTCCCCCACTCCCTTCCCCGTCACTTTCAGCAGATGCCTCATCTCCCACTCGGTGGACTTCCCATCACCAAGTCTACATATCCATTGGCATTTTTGCCTATCCCCATCTTTTGCAAGGGCAACTGCAACAGCTTTCTGAATGTTTTTCCTACCTCCAACCCTCACCTGAGTCCATACTTCATATTGAAGCCATGGTAATCCTTTAAAAACAAAAGTCTGATCATGTCATCACAGTCTAGATCATTATGGTTAATTAATTACATAAAAAATTATGGAACATATATTATATGCTCTAGCACTGTGTCCAGGCACTTAAGATAAAGTAAAGCTAGTGAACAAAATTCCCCTATGTAAAACCCTACACTGATTTTCTCTTCCTCATGATATAAAAGTAAAAAATCCTTAATAAGACTTCCAAGGCCCCTGCCTACCTTTCAGCAGGCCACTTATCCCTTCACCTTCAATTTGGCCATGCTGGCTTATTTTTATTCCTTTAAGTTGCTACAGGACAGTAGCTCAAGGGAGTATTTGGGTGGGGACACAAGAAAATGTTGAGAGAAGAGAAGGAGCCAGTGGAGAGGGAATGAGTTTGAGTGTCGGCAGTAGGACTGATGGAACAACGCAATGGAGATGGGTGGGCTGGGATCAGGAGCACAGATTGGGGTGTGGATGTTAAAGAAAGAGGGATGTTGATTTCATATGGTCAGTCAGGAAAAGAAAAACACAGAAGAGATAAATTTTGAGGAGAACAGGAAATGGAGACTTTAGTTTCTGCAAAACAGGACCCAAGGTTGTCCACTTGCAGAAGACTGTGAGGGAAGGAGGTGGCCAGTGCCATGGGAGTGGGAGGCTCTTGGATGTGCAGTGGGGATGCTTTAGGGGGCGGAGGAGATGAATGAGAGGCCCCATGAACAGGTATGGGGGCCCAGGTGATGTTAGCCAAAATGTTGGGGTAGACTGCAATTGTTCAGAAATTGGGGGCAGTAACACTGGTTCCATTAGAAGAAAACTCCCAGATTGTTAAGAAGTAATGTTGTTGAATGTTAAAGCATTTACTAAGTATACACACGTATGATATTTCCAGGGGAGGCAAAAGAAAGAAAGATTGCAAAGATCAAGGACTAGAAGTCCATGAAGGTGCTGAGATTAGACCTACGGGAATATTGTCAGAAACCAGATTGCTGAGTAGTCACTTTCATGCCAAGCATTGCTGCTGTCACACCTTTCTGCTTTTTAGACACTTGCTGTCCGGTGGGATGGATACAGTACTCGGGAAGCTGCTTTTACTTCTCAGTTACTCGGAAAAGTTGGCAGGAGAGCAAAAACCATTGTGAATCTCTGTCTTCCAAGCTGGCCACCTTCGGTGAAACTCATAAATATTCAGTAAGTGTAGTCTTATCCACAGACTGTAGTGGGTACTGTTAGGTAAGGGGACATATGTCACCAAGGCAAGAAAGGCAGTGCACACATGGCCGGGGCATGCCTTCCTTTTCCATGGCAGACTGTGATAATCAGTCACAGTATTCTGTCCTGCTGAGCTTGGAAACAGCCTCTGCATCTTCTCAGCACAGTGCTCTGGGCGGCCCCTATTCGCTGACCAGAGTTGGCATGAGAGCTGAAACTTATGAACCATCTCTGCTTTAATTTGTGTCTCAGTTTGCTCATCAGCTCCCAGAGCTGCTTACTAGGTTCTTTGACTTCATGGCTTGTGGCCTCTCAGGCAGGGAGGTCCCATATCTGGTGGGTTGCATTGTAGGGAATGGTTCATTGGGACCAGAACAGACCACAGAATGACTCCCCTCCAAAGGTTGGCAGAAATTCTTACCCAGCGGGGAGGCAAGCTGAACAGTGAGCCTGCAGCTGCAGGGTGGCACTTGAAGGATGCAGGGATAAGTCACCAATGAGCTGTTGTGTACCAAAGAAGGGCACAGCCCTCTTGCCAAAGCTCAGAGGTCTCACATGTTCATTTTCTTCCATATTTCTCATCACTCTCCACCCCACTCTGGTCTTTCTGAATCTCCCCAGCTTCCTCAATCCATCAACTCAGGTGTATTTTCGTCAATTTTTGGTTCAGAGGATTCATATTGGATTGACTTCAGCATTTATAAGGAATGGCGTTGGAATAATGATCAGTAAGTTTGTTAGGACTTTTGAGTATTTTCAACTCCATGATCCCCTCATAAACACACAGTAATGAGATTTCCTCCCCAGGTGCTACTGTCAAAACTCCTCCATAACCTCCAAAACTCCTCCATAAACCAATAATTGCCTATTTATCTGTTTCCACTATTTGATTCCTAACTCCTTAGGGCAATCTTACCTTCTATTCTGTCTTCAGTACCTAGAAGTCCCTGGCACATACTTCTTTTTTTTTTTTTTTTTAATAATTGCTAGATTGGGACCTATGCCATCTAGCAGAGGGAGAAGCAGAGGGTTCAGCTAGGGCTTCAAAGCTGATGAACACCAGCATTCCAACTTCCCATCCCTTGACAAGGCTACCCAAACTGAGATTGTATTTTCTCAGTAGGGACCACTTGAGTCACTAGGGCTGCCCCAGGAAAGTGAGCAAGGGAGCAGTGGGGTAGCTTTCAGGATCAACCCCAGGGACCCTGAAACAGGGGGACCACCTCCTTATCATTCCCTAACTGGAGTTTTCATCTTTAAGACCTTGGGTGTTCTTTCCCTGTGCTTAAAGCCTCTTCTAGTTGGAGTCCAGACATCTGTCCCTGAACCATGCCCAGATGTGGCCTTAGGCAGGCAGGGGGAGTTAGCACCTGGTCCAGGTTTTATGCAGGGCAAGGAGAGAGAAGGATGGGCTAGGATGGGTCCGGAGCACATCCCATTTCCACTTAACTACTCTTTAGGTTCCATGATCGAATCCAAAAATGTGCCAAGGTACAAAGATTTTGGTCATGGTCCAGAAATACAGGAAAAGTACAGGAAGAGTTATGTTCAACTTTTCTTCCCTTCATCTGTGAGATGGCAGCTTTCAGGTTTCCAGATGGGGACCACTGAGATATGTAAGTGTGAGGGGTGGGGCTGAGGCCTGGAAGTGTCAGGGCAGAGGGACTCAAAGCAGGGGCCCAGAGGTCCAAGGAAACAGTCACATCCACAGCCTCCAGTGGCTTGGTCTGCTTATGTAAGGGTGGGCTGGGCAGGGAGAGGGGCAGGTAAGGCCTAGAACTGAAGGGAGGCTGGTGACATGGCTGTCTAGGGAGCTGGGGAGGAGACAGGTGAGCTGGGTGAGGGTTTGGGGACAGTCAACTGCAGAGCTCACTAATGCTTTACTCTTCCAGACACTCATGCCAACAAGAGCCTATGCCCCTCATCCCTACCTGTGGCCTGCAGTCCTAAGATCACTCTCTCACTCCCTGGCACTTCCTCACCGTGGGCAGGGCCCAGCCAAGGGCTGATCCACGCCTGACACGTCTAGCCAGCCTGCTGCCTGCTTGCAATCCTGCTCCAGAAACTGGACCATTCCTGGGGAAAGGGTGAAGAAGCCTCTAGAAAAATGTAGCCTCCCCAAGACTCATCCATAGTGGAATGGGGGTGTGGGAGGAGGGCGCACGGGCTGAGTGGATAGGGGCGGCCCGGAGCCAGCCAGGCATTTTTATTGAAATATTTTTAAATAATTGCACGTGTTAGTCTCGTGTGTCAGCAATGCTGTGTCTGGTTCAGTGATCCCCAAGGGATGGCGAGCCCAGGGGTTGGACTAGAAGTGCTCTGTCCCTCGAGTCCATGCTGAGGCTCCCCTACATGGGGAGAAGAGCCAGTCAGCCCATCTGGGGCTGGCACTGTCCAGCAAGTGCGCTCTGTCCTCACGGGGTGTCCCGAAGGCCGAAGGTGGAGGCCTGAGACCGCAGGCCCCACTGCTAAGAGCGTGCCCCAGGCAGCTGCAGGCTGGGCGTGGGTGGCTTGGCGTGGTGCCCTCGGTGGCAGAGGAGACTGCCCGCCTCACAGTTCAGGTTGCGGTAGCGGGCAACAGCTGGTGTGGGGCGGGGGCACATGGACAGGAAGCCAAAGCTGAAGGGGCCGAGACAGCAGCCAGGACAGGGCAGCCCCTCATCGGGCTCCCGGGGAGCTGAAGGGGGTGGCGAGGCTTCTGTCCGCTCCAGAGCTGCTGCCCGGGGCAGACTGTGCTGGGCCCGGTTCCAGGGCTCCCCAGTCCAGCTTTGTGGGGAGTTTACCACCACAGCTGGGGGGTTGTTGTTGAGAGGAGGTCCTGATCTAGGGGACCAGGGTTGGGAGGCCGAGGAACAAGTGCTGATAAAGTTGTCTGTGGCCACGGCCAGGGGCTGCTGGGGAGGTGGTCCCGGGGGTTCTGGCTCAGGGCTGCTGCCCTCGCACTCCATCTTCTCTTCGGCCGAGGGGCCCACGGGGGCAGGGCCAGGACCTGGCAGTGCTGTCTCCATACGTCTCGGGAGTTCAGGGGATGAGGGTAATGAGTGGCAGCGGCGGGCAGGTGTCCCAGGCTGGACCAGGGTCTCTGGAGTGGTCACCAAGGGCAGCTGGGGGGAGGGCAGTGGTGATGGTGGTACAAGGGGCAGGGGGGCGATGGGCTTGCTGGGTGTGTCCAAGAGCTTGATCTTGCCACCCCTGAGGTCTTCCCGTAGTGAGAAGGGGTTGACTCGAGTCAGATTGTCCCCCCAGGTCGGGGGTGATTCTGGTGATGGGGGCAGGAAGAGGTCTGACCGGCTTCGGGAGAGCCGGGGGTCTGGCCTGGGAAGCGTGGCAGAAGGACCCCCTTTTGGAACAGACCCTGTAAACAGAGAATCTGGGGTTACTGTTCTCTGCATGTGGTCATAGTTCCGTGGGGGCTTCTAGGACGCTGGCAGGACTACAGCTTAGAAAAGGGAGCCCCACAGCATGCTTTGGAAAGGGGAGATGTCACCTCCAGCCCCCCTTTATCTCTTCTTTCCTTCCTCCTCTCCCTCAGCCTCTAGCATTAGAAAACTGTCTTCCTTGAGATGTCCTCCCACCCCATCCCACCCCGACTCCCAGGCTTCTCAACTGATAAACACACTTAGCCTCCCCCAGATAATTCTCTGAGTTCTAAGGAGGAGAGAGGCCACAAAGGGACTTAGCTAGGTCAAGGTCATGCTCACTTACCCTGATTGTGTGTCAGGGGAGTCCTGGTGAGGGGGGCTGGCTCAGGCAGCTGCTCCAGGATCCATTCCAGGTGCTGGGTGATTTCGGTGAAGGGGGCACGGGTGCTGGGTTCCATCTGATGGGGAGAGACAGGGGCAGCTTCACTCAGTGCTCCAAAAGAGGGTCCCTGAGTTTTCCTCCCATCAGCTGGGGCCCACAGGGCAGCCAAGTCAGCTCATGATGGGGGTGGAAGAGGGAGCAGGAGGGAGAGTGAGGCACTTACGCTGCAGCAGTGGATGGCCAGGAGCAGGAAAGGCAGTGGGCAGTCATCCCCCACTAGAGTTCGGAAAGCAGGCACATCCAGGCCAAAGTCCTGTGGGGACAGAGAGGAGGGGCCTCCAGTCAGCCTCCCTTGGGTTCTCCTTCTGTCCCCCAGTCAGGACCTCAGCCTCCAGAGAACCCTCCTTGGTTGTGAGCTGCTGAGTCAGGAGTTCTCCTTCCTTTTGAAACAGACATTCACCTCGGTACGGGGTAGGTAGTCAGGGTCCGCAGGTACTCGGGCGATGAGCTCACAGAGGACAATCCCAAAGGCAAAGACATCAGCCTGGGGGGAGGAGATAATAATGTTAGGGGGAGGAATTGACAGTTTTCATTTCAGAAATTTGCCAGAATATAGCAGAATTTGGGAGGTGGGGATCTCAACAGTTTTAATGTGTTGGAAGGTGCCTGTGAGGAGCACGGGGAATCATGAGGGCTCCCGAATGTCTAGTTGGGTTCTTATCGGGATGGATGGGGCCTTATGGGGATCTGAAGGGTTGACATCTTACCTTCTCATCATACAGCTCACCCCGCAACACCTCTGGAGCCATCCAGTATGGGGAACCCACCACAGCCAAAGGCTCCTTCCTTGCCCCTTCCCTGCAGGGGCAGGGTAGTCAGAAACATCCCACTCGGGCATCCTCCCCCAGAAAAAGGAGATGAAGTGAGCCCCCTTCCCACCCCAAGAGAAATGCCCCTGGGGGCTTCACTCAGATAGGGGCCCTCTGGGAGGTTTAAGGGGAACAGAGGCATTCACCTCACCTATACACAGGAATCTTTTCAGCCAGCCCGAAGTCACCCACGACAGCTGTGAAGCCTTGGTCTTCCCGACGGACCAGACAGTTCTGACATGCACATATAGCATCCCCACACACTCGTCACCTTCTGCTCTCTGGTCTCCCAATATACAACCCAAAGCCCTGCCACTCCAGCATACCCCCAACCCTCTCTAATCTCCCAGTTCTCCAATGTACCCCAATATCGCAGCATCATCCAACACTCCAAACACAGGTTGATACTCAGACCTCCAACATTCCCCAATGCCTTCCCTTTATATATCTTGTATCCAGATTCCAACATCCATGTTACAACCTAACAGTCTCAACCCCCCTTTGATACCTCCACCTGCCTGGCTAGCCTACCTTGGATGTGAGGTCTCGGTGGAAAACACCTTTGGCATGCAGGTACCGAAGGCCTCTGGCAATGTCCAGAGCCAGGCGGAGCCTGACTGGCCAAGATAGGGGTTCAGGAGAGCTGAGCAGCTGTTCCAGGGTCCCCCCATTCATATACTGGGGGGAAGGAGAAGGGAATGAATATCAGGCTTCAGTCTGTATTCTAGGTCTCCCACTTATAAGCCAGGGGACACTCAGGAGGGATCACAAAGAAGGGTGAGTCTTTTAAGTTAAAATTATTTAAATTTAAATATAACTAAACATTTAGTTCCTTGGTTACACCAGCCACATTTCCAGTGCCCTAGCCTAGTGGCTAGGGGCTACGGTATTGGGCAGCACAGGGAGAGAACATTTTCATTCCTGCAGAAAGTTCTACTGGGCAGCACTGTTCTAAGGGACACGGGGAATGAGAACAGCTGAGGCCTTTTACATGTGGTTTGCCCAAAGGGAAGTTCAGGGACACCTCCTGGGGAGGCAGTCCTACTGCCTCTCATTATTCTTCTGTTGACCCATCAGGCCCGCTGATTCCCTTTCTCCTTGATAGTGTGGGCGGTTCCCCCCTTCCCCGCCTATCCTCACCTCTGTAAGAGCGTGCAGCTGTCCCTGGTGCACACAGACTCCCATGAACCTGGAAGAGGATGGAGAAGACAGAAGGGTAGGCTGTACAAGCCCTGGCTCCTCCTCAGTTCCCACTTTTCCCGCGGGACTTCCCCCTTTCTATCCTGCCCAGCAAGCTACCCAGCAAGAGGCCGGGCCGCTCACCTTAGGATGTTAGGGTGCCGGAGCCGGTTCATCAGCTGCACCTCCCGTAGCGTGTTGCCCCGGTTACTGGGGAGCTTGTTCATCTTCAGCACCATGACTTGCCCTGACTGTCGGTGCCGAACCTGGGGGAGACAGGGCCGGCAAGCGCTGGGCAGGTCGCTTGAGCCCGGGGCCCACTTCCCCTCACTCCTGGCCCCCTAGTTACAGCCTGCAGTTGAAGGCTCGGTCCCGCCCCTCTGCCCTCTCGGACGGTCCTACCTTGTAGACCTCAGAGAAGAAGCCGGCCCCGATCTTCTCCGCGCAGTGGAAATCGTCCACACGCGCCAGGCTGGACACCGCGCTGCGGAGAGCCCGGTAGGAGGAGGGGCGGCCCCGGCCCGGGCCTCCGCCCGCGCCCCCCGGCCCCGGGGGCCCCTCCCCCGGCGCCTCTCCAGGCCCGGGCCCAGGGCCCCGCAGTGGGGGCCGTTCCCCGGCCATGGCCGGGCCCCCAGCCCGGGCCTGCCTTACATGGCAGGGTCCCCGGGGCCCGGGCAGGCCGCGCTCGCCATCGGCGCGGGCCCAGCTCGATCCCGGGCGCCGGGACTCTCTCTCCCGCCCCGAGAATGGAAGATCTGCCGAAGATCCCGGGCCCGCCCCCGCCGCGCCGGCTTGCTGGGCCGGGGTGGACGCTGCTCCGCTCCACGCAGGGCCTGGGTCGGACGGCGGTGGCGGCGCCGGTGGCGGCGGAGGCGGCGGAGGCGGCGGCGCACCCGGGAGCGGGCGGGCTGGCTCCCCGCAGGCGGAGGCGGGCGGGCGGGCGGCGGCTGCTCAGCTTAGCCGCTGGGGCTCAGGCTCCGCGGCCTGCCGGGGGCGGGGCTGGGCCGGGCCTCGGCTTAACTCCTTCTAGCCCGGCCTCGGGGCAGCGGCCACGCCCCCTCAGGTACGCGCCCCACCCCCACCCCGCCGCCGCGACCACTAGGCGACTAGGTCTGCGGCGCCGGGGTCAAGGAAGTTCGGGGCTGAGCTTGAATAACGGAAGGGATTTAAGGGTTGATTATGCGTACGCGAAGCTCAAACGTCTTTTAGCTGCCCCGAGAGTCCTTTCTCCTCTCCCTCGGGTCATTGTCCAAAGAGGGCCGGGCTCAGGAACCCGCCCAATGCTTGGGCTCCAGGGAACAGCAGGGCAGAAAAGTAGACCCCTCAGGCCCAGGCACAATCGGAGGCAGCCCAGCAACCTGTCCACCTTCCCGGCCTGCGCCCCGGCCCACACTGTCCATTTCCCAGGTCTCTTCGACCCCTACACCTTAAACCTCTGGAC